GGGAAAAAGTCTTCCTCTATAATGACAGAGATTGGGAAAGAGAAGAACTCTTTGTATTTTTTCCGTTTCATTCGAGATTGGTGCAATCAAAGTCGGGAGTCAGTCCTACCCTGTGTTGTGTTCTGCTGTCTGCACACACATGGCTTGGGGACGTGCATGGCATGGGGAGCAGCAGCTCTGTGATTGCCTCCCAGTTGGACATGTTGAGAAATCTATTTTTTTTCACCATCACTGTACTTGTGTACCACAGAAAATGAAGTAAGTTCCTGCAGTAAGTAACGCTGAGGTGCTGCAAAGACAACCTCTCAAACTGTTCTCTCCTTGGCATGGCTTCAGACTTAAACACAAATCCTTTTAATGAATTAGGACTTGATCACCTTTATTCCTATCTGTCAAAACAGGAAAGCTATTTTGGTGAAGATAGAAGTAAAACTAATGTTTCTACCATGGAATTTAAAAATCTGCTTAACATTTACTTTGAATTACAGCTACAATGGGACACTTTTCTGTAAAATGACATTTAGGTGAAGGATTCTCCATAGGCTGAGCTCCCTGAGGACTGCCAGCCACTGGTTCCCATGCCTGTCCCTCCATGTCCCCACCACTGCCTGTGTCCTGCCCACTAGGGCACATCAGAACATGTGGTAGCTGATTCAGAAAGCTAAAGCATCACAGATCTGATCTTGCCAAAAATATGACTTGTTTCCTGCTGGTTTGGCTGGCAGGACCTGCAGACAGGCTCAGGGTGTCAGTGGGGAAGAGCAGGACCATACAGGTGAGAAAAGGAAAAGAAGAGGTCTTCTGCTTTGGCAGTTGGTTGTGCAACTGAAAGTCACAGTGCATCCTGACAGTAATTGTACTGAAGCTTTCAAATCGAAATTGGTATCCTACAAATTTATATAGAGTATTTTTAAAAATTCGAAGGACACTGACACTCTTCTTTAGCTAAATTCTGTGATTGTCTCGTAGCAAGGCTGCCTGGCCTGTTGGATATACAGCTGTTGCTGGGTTCAGTTGCAGCCTCTCCCTTGTTGTTAGGAAAGTGCTGCTGCTTGTGAGGAAAACATCTCAGAGAAAATGCCCAAATCTCAGTGCAGATGTCTTTTCATTATTGCGAACAATCCTGTTAACATTGATGTTCATTCTGTTAGGGGTTTAATATGCTCTGCAGCATCTGGTTTCAAAGTACCTGATGAGTCTGGGTACTCCAGTCTGCAGGACAGTGCTCAACACAGTTTTGGAGCCCAGATGGATGAAGGAGAGGTGTAGCAGCCAAGCTGATGTAAATACTGGGGCTCTGGGGAGAAGGGTGCAGTGGAGTACAGATGACATAGCAGTGGGATAAAGGGGCAGCACCCGTGGAGGGCAGCTGTGCTGGGGTTGCTGGGACAGGCAGGCTGGGGCACAGCCAGCAGTTTGAGTGCTGTTTGCAGTGGGACTGGACTGAATCTTCAGCACAGAACGTACCTGTGTAACACAGTACAGCCAAAGGGTGGCACAGACCATGTACTGTGTATTGTTTCTCATAAACATCTGGTAGTAACCTACCACCCATAGCCCATGGGGAAATAGTTGGCTTGGCATGGAAATGTTGCTGGCAGCCTCCACTCTAAGAATATTAAGCTTTGCAGGATTTTTTTTCCCCTCTGCTTAATTATGAAATCAGTTCAGGAATGGGAGGTGACACATTTAGGTCGCTCTGATATTTCAGTTTTGCAGACAGCACCCAAAAGATGCTAAAAAATTGCCATCCTCTTGTATGCCATCCAGCTCACAGGCAGATATGCTGTGATTGCCACAGTATTTGGGGATGCTGCTCCAAACTGGCTTTCTGAAGGCTCCCTCATTTCCAGTTTTTATTCAGAAAGTCAAATCCTTTCCAACAAAAATCTGAGCAGCTATTCTAACATCAAGAAGGACTGTGCAGGTGCTATCAGCCTGGGTTCATTAGTACATCTGCTTTAGAGGTTGTTTGGTAAATCTGAAGGGTTATTTTGCAGTGACTGTGTGACTATAGGAAAGGGAAATCAAACTCTAACCAGGCAGTGAGGCTGTCTGGGAAAGTGCATGTCATGGCATGGTGAGGTGGAGTAGACAGACTGCAAAGCCAAGCTTGGAATGAGTCTTTTGCACAAATGGCTCATCTATGCTATTTGTCTTGCCAAAAATATAGTGTGAGGGTTGTTTCAATAGCCCCAAAGAGTCTTCAAGAAGATTGTCTTGGGTTTTTGTGAGGAATCTTACATAGGAATCTGAGCTTTGACTGCTTTTAAATGTGTACCTTAAACCACCTTGCAAGTTGCCCGGACTGTGGTAGTTACTTCAGCCCCTCCATTAGGGCAGGGAATCTAACTGTCTGTGGCACATTTACAACAGTTGCTGCTGTTAGAGTCATCTGTTAATGATACTCATGATTATTTCTCTTTTACATCTCTGTGACTTTTAGTTGCAGAGTTTTAGAACTCTCCCGAGTCCTTGGTGGAGAGCACTGCTGGGGTTATTCATCTGCATCTGTCATTGCTATCTAACAAGCAATGTTGTCCTTAATGCTGCTCATGCCATAAAAGCAAAGCAGCCTGGAGTGTCAGTTCTGAGTGCAGCCTATGGAGAGCAGCTACTTCCTTTTGAGCAATTATTTCTAATTTCCTTTTCATTTCCTCCTCTCATATTGATCACTATCATAGTAATATAGGCTGGTCTGGGAATTTCCTTTCATCATTCCTAGCCATTCATTACCCCTTTATGATTTCAATTTCCAGTAGCATGAGGAGGAGACAGCATAGACACCCCTGAAAAATGGAGGTGTCAGTAGGACCCTTTTGGAAGTTATTTTAGCAATGAAATAATCACATAAAATTGAATGACAAATAATTAATAGAATCATATAATGTTTTGGATTGGAAGGGACCTTAAAGATTATCCAGTTCCAACTCCCTCTGCTCGGGGCAGGGACCCCTTCCACTAGACCAGGTTGCTCCAAGCCCCATCCAGCCTGGCCTTGAACACTTCTAGGGATGCCTAGCTTCACTGGGCAACCTGTGCCAGTGCCTCAGCACCCTCAACAGTAAAGAATTTCTTCCTAATATCCAGTCTAAACCTGCCCTGTGACTGTGCAAAGGCACATTAAAAGGCCTGAAGATTTACATTAGCAAAGAAAATTCCCCCAGCTCCTGTGTCCTTGTCCTATGGAAAAAAGTGTGAGAGTGCCATTGTAGTCTCAGTCCTAATAATTGAAAATATCATCACTGGGTGCAAAGTATTTTTCTGCCTGTTCTTACTTGCATCACTGTTCATGGCTTGATTTGCTCTAAGAATAGAGTTGTACTTTTAACATGTTGGGAACTGGAGAAGCTTCAACCCCTACACTGTCACTGTCTCTCTGAGCTCAGGAGAGCCATGCACAGGCTCCAGCTGACTAGGCTGAGGTCTGGAATGAGGACAGCTATAGTTTCTCCACAGCTGAGATGGCTGAGTGAAATCTACTGGGAATTTCTAAGTGAAAATCACTTTGTCTTTGTGAAGACTCTTGGTGTTAGGCTGATCATCCTCCTGGCTCTTTTCTACAGATTTTCTTCCCGTTTTTTTCTGCTCTGTGAGTACAATGCTTGTCTTTTATCAGTCCTCTCTCTTGGTTTTCAGTAAATGCTCTGCTGTAGTAAAGACTGATAAATTGTGGCAGTAAGTATACTAATAAATGTAGGCATAGTGTATATAGGGCATTGTGGAAGAAATTAGTGTTTTTCTGCAGTTTGAAGAACAAAAAGAGTCATGCATCTGGTTTTGTGTAAAAACATCCTTGTCTTCCTGTTTTATCACTATTCTCACATGAAACAGGCATAGAGTTTTGTGCAGGGAAGTCTGTGTTATGGATGGCATTGTCCAAATTAATCAAGTGATAATGGAAACAATTTAAAGTTTAGAAGCAGAATAATAAAATCATGGAAGTTGTGCAATTTTTTGGGGTGTGTTGCTTCAGTCTGTTGCACCAATGATTTACAACTGAGAAGTCTGAGCGAAGCAGGCAGCAAATTTGAATGGTATGTATGTGAAGTGCCTTGGAATCCTAATCTGTGAGTGTATGTGTAATGAAAAACAGGTCTGTGCCTCTGGCCTGTCATGCTGTACTTCAAGGTGCTTTAAAAACACTTCTCTCTACTGAGCATGCTTGATTTTAAGGCAGTTTAAAAGTGTTTCTTTCAAAGGAGTCTTTCCCTTTATGCTGATGTCTGTTGCAACATGAGCTGGAGTGTGCACAGACTTACAGAAAGTGTATATGGGAATCTCCTCTCCCACAGAACCCCAATAATTTCTAGTGTTGGCAGAGATTAGAGCCTGGTGGCACATACTCATGCTGACCTGTTGGTGTTTTTGAGGAATCTGGTGAGTGTTCTGTGATTCTGTGAAGTTATATTCTGCTGTGCTCCTGTGGGAATGTTACAGTACTGGCCATAGGGCCTCATGAATTGTCACAAAATGAGCAGTTAATTCTTGACATCTGCTGTGCCGGAGTGACTGCCAAGTTGCGTAGGTAGTTGGCAAGGAAATAAATATTGATAGACCCTAGCAACAGGTACTCCTGAGAACTCTTGTTCTGGGAATGCTTAGGCCAAGTCCAGTGTAATTAGCGTTGTGATAGCATTTAAAGTTTATTTATAGGATTTGTTTGTGTCTTATCACCATGTCTCAGGGCTGGAATGCACGAATGGGCTTTGGTGTGTGAGGGCATAGATGTGTGTGTGCCTCTACACCCTTCCCTGACTCATTTCAACACAAAACAGATGCTTCGTCTCAGGGGTAGCTGATGCACACTGATGTATGACATCTCAAGTATGTGCTCATATCTAGACTCTCCTATGTTTGCCTGTCTACCCTACGGTGGCATGACTGTCCTGTACACGTCAGTGCATTGCTTACATGTATTTATTCCTTTTTCGTGATATCCTAGCAAAGCATTAATATACCAGATCCTCAGAGGATCCATTGGGTAAAAATTAGTTTAGACTGTGAAAGCACTAACTGTGGTGAGCACTGCATGTGAACAATTGTGCATTCTCATTGCAGAAATTGAAGCCAGAGAAGCCTGTGACTGGCTGAGAGCTGCCGGGTTTCCCCAGTATGCTCAGCTGTTTGAAGGTATGATCACACACACTCCACAAGCAGCTGACACTGAATTCGAGTGGAATCATTCACATAAATAATTTATTTCAGAACCTGACACTTTGGGTGGAAGCACTTCCAGATTCTGTCATATCTTCATGCAAACCTGTAGAAAAGTAGTAACCTGGTGTGTGTTCTTGCTGAAGAGACATCCTGGTTAGGTTAGCAGGGACTCAGGAGAATTCTGTAAAGGACCAAATCTTTCCTGGTTATTGTTAGACTCTAACTCTGTCAAATTTCTGCTTCTGTGATTTTTAGTTGCTTATAATTTTCTTAGGCTCTTTTCCTTGGAGTGCTGGAAGTTTTTTTCCAACCACTAATTGCAACCAAAACTCCTCTAAGGCTCTCCAGCCTGTGGTCTGAGTGAGATTGCTTTATTGGTGTTTCGAAAAAGACTGTTGGAAAAATCATTTTGCAATCATAACTATTTAAAACAAATACTCAGCAGCAACCAGCCAGTCAGAAAATGCAATTTCAGCTTTTTTTCATGTTGTTAAAACTACAAGGAGTACTTACTTTTGTTGAGAACTTGTAGAATTTTCAGGCCTCATTTTGCTTATACCTTAAAACTGTTCTTTTTTCAAATATGTTTATTGTTACAAATGTTGAATATAAGAAAAGCTAATCTATTTTTGAGAGATGTTATCAAAGAACTACAGTTAAAAGAACCAACTTCTTTTAACTTCTGCTCTCATTCTCACCTCCCCCACTCACTGCAAAATTAAACATTTGAAATCAAGCCAGAGAGCTGGATTTGGAAGCTGTATGCTATGAAACACGCTGTCTCATGGAAGTGCTTCCTGTCTGACTACAGCAGATTTTATTCTAGAAGTTGTTTGTTGGAAACATATATTACCATGTTTCTGGAAAATTGGTCCTCTGCATTATGTTGCTGTTTATGCAGTGTCCTGACCTAGACAGGAAAATTAAGTTTTAAAAGTAAACCAAGAAAGTACAGACAGATCTCACTGGTTCCTCATCTGCAAGGCTAAGTCTCAGAAGCTAACACATTGAATTCTTCACCTGGTGAATCAATCAGCTTCTGGCCCAGAGTGATTTGTCAGGCTCACTACAGCCTAGAGAGAATATGTCATGTGCTGCATTGTACCTCACCATTACAAAAGATCACATAAAATGCTCCCAGTTTTAGACTGCACTTGAGGGCAGAAGGTGCAGAGAACTTAACCAAGATTTAATTTCAATTAAAGCAAAGATTTAATTTTGCATTTCTTGTCTATGAAAGTCACTGAAAGCTCCTGGAAATGCAGAAGTGCTTGTCTACCTGTAACAGCAAGCAGATCCCTACATTTATTCTCCCACTTGCTCTCAGGACCTGATCCTCACTTCCTTGAAGGACATTGGTATGAATATATAGTCATAGAAATAGATTTAGATTCATTTCACCTGTTATAAATATGTTGCAAAATTGAAAGGCTTTGCAATTGCAACTCAGATTTCAGATTCAACTTCTTTGTTCACAGATATGCAGTTTCCTATTGATGTAAAAACTGTAAGGAAAGATCATGAATTTTTAGATGGAGATGCGATTGAATCACTATTCAGGTAAACATTAATTATGAATCATCTTTAATACCTCCAGGCCCCACATTTACTTGTCATTCATCTGTTCATGCCTTAGTTTTTGTTGGGACTAACAAAGTCACCAATGCTGTGACTAAAGGAAGTCACTTAAGCACATAGTTTAGTACCGCTGAAGTTGGTTGTTTTAAGAATTTAAAGGTAAAGTAAGCATGTGCCTGCACATCTTCTCCAGCTGAGGTCTTGGGGGTGTTATACTGAGCATCAAATCTGTCTTTTCTGTCATGTGAGATGTCTGCAGGCTGAGAAAAAATTAATCAGTTCCCTGCAAGCATGTCAGCCTACTCTCTAGGATCATGTATAACGGAGTGCAGGAATTTCCTCTGACTAGCCAACTTCCCAGAGCTGTTCCAGCAGATAAACATAAAAAAATCATCTGCACAAGATCTGTTCTGTTTTCCTGAATATTTTTTTAGTGAGAAGCACAGGTATTGATTTGAAGTTCTGGTTTCGCCACAGCTGCTCGGAGCACATAAGTGAAATTGCCTTGTCAGTGTAAAGTCAAACTCACAGCCCTTTGGACCATCTCCATGGAAGAGTGCCAGGATAGTGTAAGGCATTCTGCTTCACTTCTTACTGCAGTTACTGAAGCCTTTTCGTTGTGAGATTGTTTAGCAGAAATGAGAATTTCTAGCTCAAGGGACTGGAAATTTCCTCTCCTGGCAAAGTGTTAGGTCCTTTTCTGTCCTGTGAGGTCACCTGAATTCAAATTCTGCTTGTACCAGGAGCACCAAAGAGTTGTTCATATATGCATATCTAAAGCACAGCAGATACTAGAGAAATTTGGGTATATTTTGTTTCTTGGGATGACTTCTGTCCTGAGTGCTCCTTGGAGGCTGTCAGTGTGTCTCCTGTTGATGCCACCTCAGTCTTTGACCCCAATAGTGAGTTCTCCATGGTAGAAGATCACAACTAGTTTGGCACATGTTTGTTTTCAAGAAATAAAATAGTTTCAATTTAAAAGTCCTGTCTTCTCTCTCATACCCTAGGCGCTTGAACACACTGAACAAGTGTGCATCAATGAAAGTGGAAATAAGCCGTCAGAGGAAACGGGTATGTCTGTAAAGTACAGCTACTGTTCTCATGAAAAATCTGCCTAGCTATTGTATTAAAACCCTGGGTTTAAAATGTGCATGAAGGTTTAGCAAGTTCTGAACTTTCTATTCCACCCTGCAAAGCTCTTCCCTTTGCATTTTCTGCTGAAAAACATAGCGATGGAGACTGAAATTGTGTAATGTTCATTTTGTACCTTGTAAGGTAGGGTAGGGGTGGGTTTTGAAACAGTTTTTAAAGTTTGATTTGACACACGTTACTGTCCAATAGTTTCACCAAGGCCCCACCTCAACATGTCTTTTATTGCTTCCCTAAGTAAGCAATACCTTTCACACCTTATTTAACCTCTGAAAGTGAAATGTCATTCTTTCTGGGTAAACACAGAAATTAAACAGACAATCCAAATGTTCAGACAATAGAAGTTGGATAGGTTTCAGCTGTACTGGCTTTGTCTTCTCCCACAAAAATTGCTGCAGCTAAACCAGAGTAATAGCTTGGCTGATTAGCACCAGGGCTGCAAAGCCTCTGAGGTACCGTGGATTAACTGCAGGACTAGCAAGAAAACAATGCCATCTTCTGGAAAAATGTCTGGTTTTTTGGAAAGTTTCACTCTGTGGTTAGGGAGAAATGGGGCAAGTGAGAGCTCACAGAGAAATACAGGTGGTTCCTGTCTCTCTAACAATAAGCTGTCCCTTCCCTTGGAGTGGGGACAATGCAGCAGAGCACCTGGCACAGGTGGCAGTGGAGCCTGAGGGCTCCAAGATGATGCCACAGGTATTGATGCTGCCACAGCCAAACACTTCTTTACCTGAAAATGCATGAGTTTGGGTCACAGAGGTGTGAAAGAGTGGCTTTAGGAAAAGCCATGTAAATCCAATACAATTGTCTTTCAAAACCTTCGGATTTACCACAAAAAAGGATTTTTCACCCTTAGGTCAAATCTGTCACGTTTTCCTGTGGTAAGCTTAGCAGATTTGTCAGCATGGTTTTCAACTAACTCAGGGCAGACCTTCAGTGACTAAATGGTCACGTTTCCATACGCTGGTCGTGTGGGGTTTGGAGGTAGGAAGAAATTCTAAGACTCCTTTTTTGTTAATTGTTTTTGTAGTTTAAATTTTGCCAAACTTTGCCCTTGAACTGTATTTTTTTTCCCCCTTCTAAGAGTGATGATTCTGAAGATGATGAGCCTTGTGCAATAAGTAACAAATGGGCTTATGAGAGGTGCAGTCAGAGATGGTCTCGTATCGAGAGCCTGGAAGGTTTCCCAGCAGAGGAAGGTGCTAGTGCCTCAGTCCCAGGCAGCCCGATACTGAAGACCATCAGCAATGAGGACAGTGTCTTTCTGGAGAAGCACGATGTGTCCTCAATTCACAGTACCAGCAGTGCTGACAGTGACATTGTTAGCTCCCCAAAACCTTTTGAAGATGTGGAAACCAGCACGAGTTCCTCAAGACGTTCCTCAATTAAGGTACCTTCACTGGACTTTGCTTTTAGTAGTTCTCCTCCCCTCAGTGAATTTTTAAATATCACTAGTGAGGTGAAGCTTTTGGATAAGTCATCATCTAAAAAGAGGAAGAGCCTTCTAAAGAAAATGGAGAAGCTGCACTTAAGGACCTGCAACTTAAGGAGTGGTCAGTCAAAGGCCAAACCCATAATAAGTGAACCTGTTCTTCTGGAAGGACTTAATGAAGAAAAGATGAAGATGCTGAACTGTGTAAATATTTCTGACCTCTCTGGCGTCCAAACAAAGAACAGTTCTTCCTTTTCTCCCCGGAGTTGCAATAGCAGCAATCAGTCTGGAAATAGCAGCACAGTGAGCACTCCAAGTCCTGTTACAAAGCCAAGCAGCCCCTGTGAAGGAAGGGGGATGTATGCAGAGCACATGGACTCCAGCAAACTCTTGCTGTGGAATGATTTATCTCAGCAAACCCTAAAAAATGACATGATGTTACAAAAGAACCAGATGTTTCAAATACCACAAGGCCATAAACCTGGCACTTTCCCCAAAGTACTTACAGATAGCTCCCTCTCTCCAGTAGACAACTCTTCTATCAACTGGAGAACTGGGAGTTTTCATGGGTGCAGGAGGAGCCGGAGCAGAAGTAGTTCCAAGGACCCCAAAGCCCCAAGGAGTCCTCGTTCGGGCACAGATAACAGGAGAAGTGTGTATGACAACATGCCCAATATTGAACTTGATAATTTGGAGGCAGCACAAGATGGTGATGATGATGTTTTTTCAGAACTGAACAATGTTATAGCAGATGTCAATGGTATCAAAAAGCTGGTTGATCAGTGGACAGAGAAGTTCTCAGATGATGGGGATTCTGAGTTTGCCAGTGACTTGACCTCTGTCTGTCCATCCTCCCCTAAAGAAAACTCTCTTGAAACAGAGGGCTCAGAAGATAAGACAGCAGTGGAGACTGATGGAGAGAGCAGCTGTGGCCTGGGCAAGGAGATTGGTTCAGAAGACCTAACATATATTGCAGGTTCTAAAAAGACCAACAGGTCAGTAGTCCTTCTGTTTCCCTTTCATTCTGTCCACTCAAAATAGAACTGCTTTGCCAGAACAAAGTATTCTTAAGTCTGTTCTAGGCAGCAGGGTCTGTGCTGTTGGTGGCAGGTACTGCTAGCCCATAGGCACTCTGGTGCCAACATCTGACCTCTGTTGAAAGTAGAACACTCGTAATCTGCATGAGTACTCAGACATTTGGAACCAGGCCTTAACAGCCAGCTTGCTGTGTTTCTTAGGGAAACATTTTGTATTGCCAGAGGACCTCCTGGATGGGAAGTACCTTGTCTAAGGCAGCTAACCATATGGTGTTTGGGAACTGCAGGTCATTTAGAGTCTTAAGTACTTCACAGATGCAGGCAGAATACTAACGGGGATGATGGAAATGGTACTAAGTTAAGCAATATTTATCCTGTAGGCACAGGAAGAAACACTGGTCTGTGGAAGAGAGTATGAACTTGGAAAGCCTTTCCATCCAGACTGATGGCCAGTCAGCTGCCCAGCTGGCCCGGGCACAAAAGCTGGCGTTGTTGAAACTCACTGCTTTAATGGACAGATACTCCCCTTCCAGTCAGCAGGGCTGGAACTGGTAAGTTGCCTAATATTAAAGCAACTTGTGCTGGAAAGAGGGGATTTGATGTAAGCAGGTGAATTTCCTTGTCTGCCTAGATTACACATGTTCAAGCTGAGGAATTCATCCTATTAAATCGCTGGCAGCTTCATAGTTATTTCCATGGCTCCAGGATTTCCTCTGCTGTGGGCTGCACTTTGGCTCCTCAATGGTGGTCATGCTATTACTGATTTTAAAGCATATTATAGTTTCTCTTTAAATTTGCCCATTTGCAGGGCTTTGTCAGAGGTTCTTCACAGGGACTGTGGGAACTGAGGTGAGAGCTGTCTGGGCTGAGAATCCAGCTTTTCAGCACCGAGTCTCTGAACTAGAACAGTGACAAAGTCAGACACTGAGAGGACTTAGAAACATCAGTCAGCATCTTGTGATAGGGAGCTGGGACTTGAATGTAGAAGGAAGTGAAAAAATTGCCCTAAAGGAATGGAATGTATTTCCCATGAGGATACTTTATTAAAGCTAATTTTGGTGATGAAATGAGGGAGTCATTCCTGAAATCACCTTTACTGATTTTCTCTCTCTTATGATGCTGTATGTCCAGATATGTGCCAGAATCTGGGGTTGTGACAAGGTACAACTGAATCCATGTAAATGAATGCATGTAAAGCAGAAGGCAGAATGTGCTGGAGACCTAATAAGTTACATGTACTGATTTTTGTTCCCAGGACTATACCGAAGTTCGTTAAGAAACCAAAAGCTTCAGACTACAAGGACAAAAATGTGTTTGGGGTTCCTTTACTTCTGAATGTACAGCGAACGAGCCACCCACTGCCCAACGGCATACTGCAAGCCCTGGACTATCTAAGAAATCACTTTCTTGACCAGGTATGAACTTGAGGCAGCTCAGAGCAGCTCTGGGCCATGAATGGATCTGCTCCAGGGAACCAGACTCTGCTTCCAGCTTGCAGAAAGGTGTAGGTCTGAGCACGCAGCCTGCGAGGAAGTACCAGTGCTGATTCCTTCTGGGAATGCCTTGCCTCACTGAAACTCTGTGCAGTCAGTTCTCTTGGTGTAGGCAGTCAGGCTGTCTTCCCCTGGGAGGTGTCATGTCTCTGCTCCCTAAGTAAATCTGCCAGACAATGTCACTGTTCCCTCTCTTCTGTGGTTGCTGGTAGTGCCAGAGCTAATGCAAAAATTAATCTTGTTTCAGCTGAAATGCACCACGAAGCAGAGAGGAAACATATTGCAGCAGTGTCTGTAACATCTTTTTCTGGATCTCAGCACTGTATTTATCCCCTAAGTGGAGATGGCAGTGGCAGTGTGTGCTGCATATAGTATTTCCATAGCATAGCTGCAGGAGTGGGAGACCCTGTGACATGAGACATACTAGATAAAGAAAGGGATTTTTGTTCCTGTCATTTGCCATTGTCTAGGTGTGTCCTACCATACCAAAGTGCAAACGTGTGCATCCTGTGAAGTGACAATGCACATGTGTTTCATTTTGAGGTCATGGTATCCATACAGTTAATATAAATAAACTGAGGAATGTAAATACTTTCTCAGTGGCACACAGTGAAACTGTCAGCAGAAGCTTTGTTGGAGTTGAGTTCATGGGAAACTTCTAAATCTCAGTTTTGTCTGTCATATTGAAAATTAAATCATGATTTCCCTTGGAAAGGCCACTGCCCTTTGCCAGCTTGTAGATGGATTAGATGTACCACATATATCAGGTGTTAAACCTGAACCTTGTGCATCTCACAGTCAGTTTGTGTGTGCCAGCATGGGCACTGATGTATGTTTGTGTTTGGATGGACTCATATTGGTGTATCTGAAACTTGCAGTTGCCATGTGTGAATTCAGCCTGCACAAGCAAATGGACTGATGTCAATAGTAGTGATTTTGAAAGTCAAAAAGAGTAATTTTGCATTAAATTAAAAACAAATGAACATGAAAACTGGTATGATACAACTGGTTCTGTGGGCATGAGCCATGGTTTGCCTGGGAGGAATGTCTGTGCTGCTCCTAATGATACGAAAGAATTTTGGTGCTAGATCCCATTGCCATAGGGTCTTTGCTATCAAAATGATGGAGAAGGATCAATTATTTGCCAGAATTTTGATCCCTGATGACTCCTCTCTTTGTCTTTTAAATTGTCTTTTACTTGCAGGTTGGCCTGTTCCGAAAATCCGGTGTTAAATCCAGAATTCTGTCTTTAAGAGAAATGAATGAAACCAACCCAAACAATGTCTGTTACGAAGGGCAGTCAGCATTTGATGTGGCAGATATGGTGAAGCAGTATTTCCGAGACCTTCCCGAGCCTATATTTACCAGCAGGCTCTGTGAATCCTTCCTCCACATCTACCAATGTAGGTAACAAAAGCTATAAATTTCCAGTTCTTTGGCTATCTTAATACTCAGTTGTACGAGGCAGTGGCCAGATTAGGACTAGTGTCCCCTTGTAGTCAGAGGAGACAAATGAGGCAGGACATTTCTGAAAAGATGAGTTCATTGTTGCTCTGTATTTAAGATCTTCCCATCTGTGTCCTATAGGCAGTTACTTCTGTTCTTAGAAGGATGAGTGTAGTAACATGCTGTACAGCCCTTAAACTGTGTTTTTAAACAGCTGTTTCCTTATACAAAATTAAGAAGTAATCTGGTCCCTTTGTTCATGATGTGATACAGCTCCATGTGCAAGAGTTCCTGTTATATGATGATACTTTATTAAGGTGCCCAAGCACAGCTGCTCTGAAACAGCATCTTTGCTGGGAAATGCCAGCAGCTTTCTGCCTGTGCTCACACTGTTACTATCCTTGAGACTCAACCCAGAAAAGAAGGAAATGTGAAGCTGCAATCTCACATTTAATACAGTTTAAACAGGTTCCATCTCCAGCAGTTTGCCCTCAAGGAACTCACTTTCAAAAAGCAGCTGGGCTGGGGAAGGAACTTGTTGCAGGAGCTAATGATGGTGTTGTGGCAGACAAGATTCTTCTGCTTTTGAGAAAAGGTTTTGAAAGGCACAGTGTGAGATTTCTGAGGTTTTGCAGCCTAAACCATGTGACTTTTATTGACATAAGTCAATGAGCTGTGGGTGGTGTAGGTTTGTTAAAGTTTGGTTGAGTTTGTCACCTCTCAGGGTCTGAATCTGGTCTGGAAACAATTTGATTATTTGTTTGAAGCAGATTTTCTTTTTGCATTCACAAATCCTCCTTTGTAAGGAGGTCCACATGGATGGACCAATGTCCAATGGTTGCATAACTGTTTTCTTCCATTTATTATAATCTCACTATCTACCTCCTGTCTCTTGTTTTGAGATAGAAACAACAAATGACTGTTCTAGTCACCCCACTCACACATCTCCTGCCAGATGTGACTTGAGCAAGTGCCCAGATTAAATTACTGTCTTCTGGAGATAATTGTGCTGCTTTCACCATAAGTGTGTTTTGTGTGTTCTATATATGTGCTTCTACTTGAAGGGTAGAACTGATCTTCTACCCTTTGTAGTGGTGTAAATTAGACAAATCCTCCTGACAGGGGATGTGTGGCAGAATAAGCCATACTCACGCTCCTGCAGGAGCTGTTTGGGCAGACAGTCTCACTGGGGGTTAGTGTGAATTAAAATCTGTTGGCAAAACATTGTTCTCTGAATTGAGTTATCTGAGAGCATCTGTTCTCTTCATGCTTGAAGCTGAAAGGCAAAGACAGTAGAGCAGCAACCTGTTCCAAAGTGTCATTCCAGAGTAATATCTAATGGGGAGACAGGCCCTTCTTTGGATTGTAACTTTGTTCAGGATGAGTTCATTAGCATAGTGTTCAAGATAAATTGCAAGTCAGGCAGCAGCATCCCTCGGTGTGAATGTGCACTTGATGGCAGCAGGAGAAATGGTACATGTTTGACATGATAATGGTCTTTCCTTGTCTGCTGTGAGCTAGGGAGAGGGAAATGGATGATCCTGCAGGCTCAATGCCCTGAGTGGGACCCTGCTGATGGATGCTTTCCCTGCAAGTCACGTGTTACTTTTTTTCTTTTTTCAGACGTGCCGAAGGACCAGCAGTTTCAGGCTGTGCAGGCTGCTATTCTCCTCCTCCCAAAGGAAAACCGAGAAGCTTTGAAAATCCTCCTGTTCTTCCTACGAGATGTGGTTGCTTTCGTCGAGGAAAACCAGATGACCCCAACCAACATTGCTGTCTGTCTTGCACCTTCTTTGTTTCACCTGAACACCTTGAGGCGAGACAGTTCATCCTCCTCCACTAGGTATTGGCATCTTGATGCTGGCTGTCCACAGTGCTCTTTACTGGAGCAATGTTTTCTCTAGATGGCTGAGGGTCAGTGTTTGCTTTTGAGGGGCAAACTCTGTGTGTGTGTGTGTGTGTCTTGAAGTGTGCCTTAAATCTGGTTGCTCAGATCCAGCAGGAGTTGCCTGCAGTGCATGAAGCAATCCAGCCACTCCCTGCCCAGTGCAGAGGGCAGTGGTAAGGCCCCATTGCCACACTCCTGACCAGTCTGTGTGCATCCCTCACCACTGCTGTTCTCCCTGCCATTGTCCACAGGTCCAGCTGCCCAGGAATCCAGCATGTGGCCCATTGCTTGCATTAAACTGGTGCTGGCCATGGTGCTCCTGCACTGGCAACCTGAGCCCAGGTGCAGATTTAAGGCCCTGCAGATTCCTGGCAGATTGTAGCAGCTACTGGCGCTGGTTCTGCTGGGTGATAAGGGGATTATTCCTGCCAAATTGAGCCACAGGGATTCTGTAAATTTGTCTTAATAAGTAGAAGTATCTGGGTTGCATAACATCCCCTGTTTGTACGTGCAGGGAGTAAGGTGCCCTTGGGCCAAAGCAGACAAATAATCTCTGAGAGCATTCATGACTTATCTGGCCTTCTGAGGCAGGGCTGTTTGCTTTGCTCCACGCTCCTGCACTAAGAACAGGCAGGTATCAGGGCAGGAGAGCACAGCTGGCTGTGATGGAAGCATTGTGTACCCATCAGTGTGGTGAGTTGAACACCTTGCTTGGGGATCAAGAGGTGAGGACTAGTCCCAAAGCAGAAGCTGTCAAATGTGCTGTTGGCATCTTTCAGACTAAGAACACAGGCTCTGCGTAGCACAGAGGGGGGAAAGAAAACACTATGGATTTTCTTTTGAATGGCACAAAACATCTGAATTCCTGTGCTGAGCCAGCATGTGGCAAGGGAGGCGTGGGGCCACTGTGATGGAGCATCAGCAGGTCCTGCTGTATTGCTGCTGTGTTTGAGCTCCTGGGAGCCACACTCTGAGAGTTGTACCTCTTTGGTTTACATCCACATTAATCTGAAATGCTGGGACCAAAAATAGAAATGGAGTTTTCTCTTTATTGTCAGCGTTTAGAAGCCAGGATGCTTTGAAGCCTTAGCTGTGCTGTAACTGTGCATTAATGCCTTAGTGCAGGGTTCTGACTTCAAAGGGGGCAAGCTGACAGGTCTGAATCTGAGTATCAGAGCTGAGGACTATTATCTTCCACCCAATTTTCAAGCTGTTTGGCAGGAATTCACATACATCAAAGTTTCAGAAGTTAGGATTAATGATTACAAATTAAAAGAGGGGACTGGTTTTGACACGTGTTTGGTATGGTTTGGGCCAAAGGGTTTAAAAGGTTCTACATGGCCTTTGTGGTTATCATAGGAGATCCGTATTGAAGGCTACACACAAATTAGTTTGGGCTCCTCGCTGTCCTTGGCCAAGTGTGCAATGATGTGTTTGAGGAGTAAAATCATTGACTTGCCTTTCATGGGCATCTATTACTACTGGTCAATAGTACCCTGGACACTTTTGGGGTGTGCTGGAAGGGAATTCTGTCTGTGGACCTTGGTGCAGTAACATAACATGCGTCCCTACATGGCACACACAGGTCCTTCAGTGCAGTGTGTGTTCAGTGCATGTTCCTAGCACCTTGCTCACCCAGCCTTCCTTTCACCTTCTCCTCTCCATAGATCCAGTCAGAGGAAATGCAGCTTGGGGAAGCCAGACCAGAGGGAGCTGAATGAGAACTTGGCAGCAACGCAGGGCTTGGCCCACATGATAATGGAGTGCAACAGGCTCTTCCAGGTATGTCACTTGCTGTCACAAAGCAAAAGCCTGAGCAGCTTGGGGTAGGTGGGTGGGTGGCCTGCTGGAGCAGCAGCTGGGCCATTGCTCTGCAGAGGTCCTTGTGACAGATGTGAGTTCTGCTGATGCCATCAAAGAGAAAATTAGCATCATCGCAGTTTTACTGTAACTATTTGTAAGGGCTGTGCAAGCACTCCTCCATCTCCCCTCTGTCCCCAATAATGATGGGGGCTTGACTCCTTGGGTTTGGTGCCAGCTTAGAGAACACCTGTGGGGCAGAGGATGCTATGTGCCCTGGCAGGGAGGCCCTGGCCATCCCTTCTTGGAGAGTGGGTTGAAGTTGAGGTTTTGTTGCTGGGGCAGTAATCTGAACCTGGACCTTGGCCCACAGACTGACTTCCCAGCTTGACAACGGCCTTTGCGTGTCAGTATGGACTTGCCTAGTGATCACTAGACTGTGGCTGACCCTGGTTGCTGTCCCTGGACCTGATCCTGACCTCCCTTGCTGACTCACCTTCCTGGCTCTACCTCGGACCTCATCACTGCGGATGTGTCTGATGACCTGGACCCTTGGCTGCCATCTCTGGCCGAGCTCAGGCACTGTGGGACTGGACAGCTGCCCTGCTAGCCCAGTCATCCCACTTGACCCCTGGCCCCTTTCCCTCAAGGGTGCCATTGGCCCTTGGTGCAAGTCAACAGTCAGCTCAGGCCTTCCCGTGCACTGCTCCAGCACCTCATCTGGGCAGGAGCCAGTGTCCCATGGCTCCCCTGAACTGACACATGGCCCTGCCCCCGGGCTCCCCCAGCAGTAAGTTCCACAACCTGCCTCTGGCTGCTGAGTGACACCCCTCCTCAGACCAGCCTGGGGTCCCCCAGGGTCTGATCGCTGCATGGTGTCAATCTCCAGCCTGGACAGGCTCCTAAGTGATCCTCTCCCCTCTCAGCCCAGCCACGGGTCCCCATTTCCTCAGCAGTGGCTGAACCCTTCTGCCCTGGGCCCTCTTGGAGTGCCCTGACACCTGCTGCCTGCCCTGTACCCTACAGTCAGCCTTGGCAACATGGGAGCTGGTCCTGTCCCTGGCTGCATGGCCTCCAGGAATAGCCCCTTGGATCTGTGGACATCCCACAGACCCCTGCTACAACCAGGATGCTTCACCAAAGCATTGCTGACTCCAGGCCTGAGCTGTGGGGCTGCCCCTCACCCAGGAGTGCTGGGATCCTGCTGGTGTGCCCCAGCCCTGCCTGGGGATACATTTGGTGCTGAGACCCAGGGACTGTCTGGAGAGGCCTGTCCCACTGCTGGAGGCTGTGAGCAGCTTGGTGGGGCAGTCTGCCATGCCCATGCCTGGACACACACCTCCTGTTCTGGACCCAGACCTGGACTCTGACATTTGACCCTGCTTGGTCACTGTGGCCACTGCTGGCCA